AGATCCTTATTCGTTTTATGTTTTAAATAGATACAAGAAAAAGAGCAACTACAAGTATTTCTGACTTTATTTTGGAATAGGATCAATGGTATACTAATAATGGTGATCTATAAAATCAAAAAGAAGGCTAAAAAGAAATTATTCAATAACTTTTATTTTTCATTGCTCAAAATGTGATGCCATATTTTCTCTTTGAATAAAAATGCATAAAAGGTCCTAAATTCGATGAAAATACTCCTTATTATTTAAAATTAAAATTAGAAGCACTCAATATTCATTGTATAACTTATAACTTTTTAAATAATGAAATTCAACGCAAGCTTCATATTTGCAAGTATATTTTAAAACCTATTTTTTGAAAAAGATACAAAATATTTGAATATTTAATCTCACATAAAATTCAATATCAACGTCATTTCAACAAAACCTTCTCTTAAATATAAATTAAAACTATAAGAATAAAGTTTCTTGAAACATAATAATTATGAGTTATTAATAAATTTTTAAATCATACAAAAATTCCTCTGAAAGTTTCCCATTTAGAAAGGCAAAAGCATTCAATTTTAGAGTGTCAAAATTCCCATTTAGTAAAGCAAAAAAATAAATCTAAAAAACTAAAATAAAATGTAAATATCTCAAAATTTTTTCTATAAACTTAATTATTTTTTTAAAAAAATAAATAAATAACATTATAAATAATACATTTTTTTAAAATCGAAAAATCATATTTTTCTATTCAAAATTTCCCAAATAGTAAGGCAATTAATTCAATTTTTGGCGGGAAAAAACAAAAACGCCGATAACCAGTTTGAATGGGTATTCAAAAAAAGTTTTTAAAAAGTGGATTGAGAAGATTGAGAGGCTTTCCCATTTTGCATGTCCAACCCTGTATATGAATTACTTTAAAATGAAAATGAATGTTTTTCACATAATTATTTAAACAATATCTTAAGATAACTTTCGTTGATATTTAAGTTAAAGCTTGAGTTCTATTGCTGTAAATAAAAAAAGGAAATAAAATTTCAATTTGTTTGACAATATTTATTTGATATCAAATCATATAAAGGTGCAAAGACTTTTTTCGTTTTTTTGTAGTTAATATTTTTTGAATATATCTTAGTATATAATTATTATTTTGCAATTATTTTTTATTTTATTTATATTATACAGTTAATTATTTATTATTATATTAAATATGTTTAATAAAATATGCTATTCAATGAATTAAAAGCAATTTTTCATAAGAGTGTTTTTTTAAATAAATCCATCATTGTATATGCTTTTGATTTGTTTAAAAAAAAATAAATCATATATCTATATAAGAAGATATTATATAATATGTAGGATATTTGATTAGTTTCATATTGCATTTCTATAATGAGATAAAATTGGTTTTCATTCTATTTTTAGCATTTCTTAATATACAAATTGTTATTTAATAATGTAAATATTAATAGTAAAAGTTATATATATATTTAAATATTTTAAATTAATTTAATTTGAAAATGGCTCGAACAAAGACTCTATTTTTCTATATTCATTTTATAATTTTATTAAAACAAGCATTTTTGAAAAAAAGATATATTTTTTAAAAATATAGTTATTATACATATTATATAAAACATGTTCCTATATATATCAAATATTTTATAATTAAAATATTAAATAATAAACAAGATATCTTATTTGTAAAATATTGAATTGAATATATTTTGTTATTATAGATAACTTTTTAAAACGAAATAATTGGCTTTTTTATTGGTTTATATTTTACTATGAACAAATAAATTAGTAAAAAGTGAATGCTTTTTCATATATTTATTTTATTTTCTGAAAAACCGTATTTTGGCATAATATAAACTATAGAATTTGACTATTCAAATTTCACATTGAAAAATTCTATTAAACCTTTTTTTTATTTTATTATTCTATCAATTTTACACTAAATTAATTTATGATTATCTATATTCAAATGTAAAATATATTTATTATATAGCATTATATATAGTATGTTAAATGGAATTATAAATTTTTCCATATTATAATAAAATAATATATTAAATTTATATATATATATTGATTTTAATAATTGAATGATTATATGGAGTATAATTCAATGATCTTATCCTCTTTAAAAATCTATATTTATGCATATAAACTTATTATTAAATATAGATAATATATATAAAAGATAAAATTCGAAAAATAATACAAAATAAAAATTTATATTATAAAAATTTCATATTTATATAAATTTTCAAAATTGTTAAAAAAAAAACTTATCGTAAAATTTATTCTATTCAAAAAATTCAATTATTATTTAAAAAATAAAATAAATATATACCATCCATTATCGAATAATATCTAATAGACATATAATAAATAATATTTAGAATAATACTAAAAATATTGTTATCTATATAAAATAGATTTCTAAAAAAAGTCTTACTCCTCCCACCTCTAATCATATATCTTTCAATAGAGTACGCCGAAATAGCGTTTTCTTTTTTGAAAAAATTAACAAAGTCAAAAAAGCGCCATATTTTCGGTATACTATTCTTTTTGTATTTTTGATAACATTTCCAAATAAAAACTTTGTTTTTGTTGGAAAATTGGTGTTTTTTGAATATCATCATATATTTTACAATAACTAACTTTTTTTCAGAAAAAGTGGAGAATTACAAAAAACATTTCGATAAAAAATATTTTTTAAAAAATCAAGTTTCTTCTTTTTTTAGTATTTGAGTTTATTTTGTTAGTAATATTTTTCTAAAAAAAATAAGTTTTACAAATTTAATAATCCAATGAGGCAAACGATTTTTGTTTCTTTAGAAAAATAAATTTTCCTATTAATTCAACCAATACAGATTAATGATTTTTATGAACTATAGGCCAAAAAATTACAGGTTGGAAGTTATATTAGTTAGTTGAGGTGGCATATGATAAAAAAAATTAGGGAAAAAAAGAAAATAGATTTCCCGTTCTTGAATAATTCAATGAATTCAATTATATAAAGTTTATAATTTATTTGATATATATTTTTAAAAATCATTTTGTTAAAGCAGAATATTGATCATTCCGAAATTAAAATGATATGTTTAAAAAATTAATGATCAATCATAAATATATTCAAAATAAACACAATATTTATTGTAAATTACATTCTTTGGTATTTTAAGTAAATAAGAATAAGAATAAGATCATTATGAGCTGAAATTATTTGAATTTTCATTCAATACTGAATTAAATAAATAAAATCGGATTTCATATAAAAAACTTGGAAAAACTATTTTTTCTAAATCACAAACATTTATTGAAAAAAATAGTTTTTTTTTGAAAAACAAATTTTTCTGAAAAAAATTTTTTTTGAATAAAAACAATTACCTATCGAATTTTTTGATTATTTAGAAAAACTCACGTTGAACAAAAAGGAAGAGTTATTTCATACAGTTTTATTTTTCTTTATTTAACAAGTTTGAATATAAAAAACTTATTTTCTTTGGAATAACTTATGCTTTTTCATTATTGATACTTTTTTCAAATAACAATTCACTATTTCGGCGTACTCTAATATTTCAAAATGCAATAAATGAAAATTATATATTGTTGAATTCATATTTATGCAAATATTGATATTGACTAGAGTAAATTATATACTTTTTATGCATTTTTCAAGATATAATTTAACAAATACAAAAATATTATAATATTAAAGTTTTTATTGCTATATAAGTATATGAAATGATTAAGAAATTGCAAATTGCATTGGCTATATCTAATAGTATTTGGAAATATTAAATTTGTCCTTTTTAATCAAAGAGCAGTTCTATTTGGCATGTTTATATTATGACAGTATTTTTTATTCAAAAAGTGGTGAAAATCATGTTTGAATTAACATATTATTATCAACTCAGTGTTCAGTTTTTTCAAAAACGATGCTGTTAGCTTTTTAAAATATATTTAAGTTAAAAATATATATTATTTTATATTTTCTTTTTATCATTAGGGAAAAATAATATTTTAAATAATAATTGTTCAAGATAATTAAAATCATTTTTATATGTCACTTTTTGAATGACTATTCAAAAAGTGACTTTTTGTATATGCATTTAAAAGGTGAACACTTTTTTCAAACATAATTTTTAAAGATATTGATGAAAATATTAAAGATTCGCCAGTTAGAAATTTGAATTTAATTTCTTAGCTTTAAGCCATAGAAGTATAAAAAGCACGACCTTTGCAACCTCTTTTTTATCAGGTTGAATTCCTTCACAAAATTTCATCATTGTTGTGTTATCACTCATTGAAATAACGTTGTCTCTATCTGCTGCCATTTAGAAGTATCTTGAAGCTTCCTTCTTTATAGTGTACTTTGTACGAAAAAATACATGTATGCTCATTATTTAGTAAATTAATTATAAAAAACAATTTGGCATGGAATCTGTATATTTATTCGCTCAAAAAGCTACTAATTAAAAAAGCAAGAAAAAAAAATTAAAATTAAAACATAATCGAGTAAGAGAAGAAAATTGCAATATTTTACAAAGTTTTGCAAAGTGAGAGAAATAATATTGATTAAAATAAACATTTATTTTACAACGTGCATTTTCAATGAAAAGGTATGAATTAAATTTTTTTTGAATATGTGGATCTTTAACTTGTGATCAAAGCAAAGATTAAAAAAGATCAAAAAATGCATTCGACGGGAGTCGAACCCGCGACCCTCGGATTAAAAGTCCGATGCTCTAACCAACTGAGCTACGAAAGCTTCTCATTTATATATATACTACAATACTACAAAACAAATAAAAAGACATATTGTTAAAATAATTAAATTACATTACATTACATTAAATAGGAAAGAGATTCATCAATAAAAAAAATAACTTATTTGACAGTATTCTTTTTAAATTCAATAAAAATCATCCATAAAGAAATATCTAACTAAAAATATTTAATTTTCATCATAATTTTATGAAAAAAATTAAAAATTTAAAAAATGCTTACGAGCGGATTTGAACAGCCAACATTCCGATTACAGGTCGAACGCACTAACCAATTGTGCTACACAGGCTTTCTTTATTACAACGTTTTATATGAAATAAAAAGATATTCTTCCTATTCTATGCAAAAATATAAATTATTATTATTTTATTTCAAACAAAGAAGATTATAAGAAATATTTACAAAAAAATTCAAAAATTCAAAAATTCAAAAAACATCATAATTATTATCAAAAGTTCAACAGAAAATGAGTGAAAATAAACAATGATTTTTGATAAACTTTTTCAATATAAAAATTTTTTCATTTAATTTTGAAGAAATTTTTTATTTCTAAGTGACATTGATTGCTTTGAAAAAGAAGAAATTATTTTAGAAGAAGAATATAATATATTTTTGATATCATTTTTTAAAATAATGATTTCTTCTTCTTTATTAAGATTAATTGATTATGATTATTCAAATGATTTTAAAATTATTGTTAAAATCAATAAAACAGATGATCTCAAAAACGATGATAATATTCAAATTTCAAAAGAAACAACTATTATAATTAATACAACAATCAACAAAGCTCGTGTTATTTCAAGAAACATTGATGAACTATATAAAAACGACCAAACAATTAACGAATATGAAATCAAATTAAATAATATCAAAGAAAAGAACAAGACAGGAAAAATTGTTGACATTTTTAATATTTTATTAAAATCGATTGGCAGACCAATTTCAATTTCTAAATCATTGGAAAACATGTTTTTAATTGTTGAATCAGAACTTGGAGAAGACACCAATTTTTTCATTAACAATAACGATTACAATGATAATGACAATATCAATAATAAGGATAATAAAAATGATAAGAATAATAAGAATAACAATGATGATGAAATTGGATATTCAGATTTATTTTTCATGTATAACTTGAAAATCAATAAAAATATAAGAGAAGAAATATATAATCCAAGAATTGAACTAATGGGATTCGATGAATATTTGGACTATTGCTATGAAATAAGGTACAAAATTTAATATCATCATAAAAGTATCATATCATTTTTTAATAAACACCACACCATATAAAATAATTCATTTAATTTCTATTCCTCCTATTTATTTCGACTCAATTCAGCTAAATAAAAAGATTCACATTTTCTGAAAAACTCACAATTACAAGCAAATAATAACTGGATTTAATTCAAATGTAAAAAAAGTATAGTAAAAACAAGTAAACAAATCATTGGGAAATTGATGATCTTTAATTACAATGTCAATAACAATTACAATAACAATGACAATATCAATAATAAGGATAATAAAAATGATAAGAATAAATATGTATGGGTACTGGATTCTCTTCCGTCATTTATTTATATATTCATATATTATATTAATTAAGAGTTAATTAGATTATTTTATAAATACCAGAATATTTTAATGGGCAATAAGTGATATACCAACGATTTTATTTTTAAATGAGAAATGATCGTTTTTTTATTTTTTGAATAAGATCATTGAAATATTTGAATATAAAAATTTAATTATGAAATATTTTTATCTTTTAGAACTACTTATATTTATAAATTATTTAATATAAATAAAAATATATAAATATATTATATTAGAAAAAATATAAATGTTAAGAATTATGTTTATTTTTTGGAGCTAAAAAAACAATTCAATATCTTTTGGTCAAGTGTAACAATTTTTTCGTTGAGCGCAAATAAAAGAATTCGTTTGTTGGTTCTAAAAATATGGAATTTTTCAATATTTGACCAGAATTTCATAATTTTTGGCTTAAAAAAAAATATAATTTTTTCAATCTTTGAAAAAAATAGTAGATTTCTAGGATAATTATTTCAAAAAGAAATAATTATATTTAAGACATCTTTTAAATCTTGCGAATTTTCATCAATTTTGTAATCATTAAAAATGCGAATTAAATTTTCATAATTTTCTTCAAGATCATCTGAATTTTTCAAGAATTCCATTAAAGAAGATTCGACAAGTTCTCGAGAATGCATATATATTATGATATCTGATCTTTCAAGAATTCACTCATTTTATTTTTATAAAGTAATAAAAAGTGACAAAATAGCTTGTATGCATTTTTTTAAAAAAACTGCTGATTAAAAGTTCATTCCCAATATAAATATAAATATAATGTAACTTATCACTATTATATTTTTATTTATTTAATATAAATTCGGAGCTCTATAACAAGATATTAAAGATTCTTATTTATCGTTTTTTCATTTTCAAATATTTTGAATTGCTAAAAATTTATGATAAAAAAAAGAAACTTCTCAGAACTTTTTTTAAAAAACTGCTGATTAAAAGTTCATTCCCAATATATATATAAGTATAATATAATTTAATACTATTATATATTTATTTATTTAATATAAATTCGGAGCTCTATAACAAGATATTAAATGATTTTAAATTTCTTTCAATATTTATATAATTATTGAAAAATTATAAATCTTAATTTGGTCAACTTTTATTAATTAAATGCTTTTTTATATTATTATATATATAAAAATAAAATAAAAAAAATTTTTCATAAATAAAAATTTTAAATAATTTAACGAATTTTGATCGTCTACCCACACATATAAGAATAATAACAATGACAATAATGATGAAATTGGATATTCAGATATATTTTTCATGTATAACATGAAAATCAATAAAAATAAAAGAAAAGTAATATATAATACAAGAATTGAACTAATGGGATTCGATGAATATTTGGACTATTGCTATGAAATAAGATACTAATTAAATACTAAACCAGATAAACATTTATATATATTTATATATCTGTAAAAAAATCAAAGCTTTACTAAATAAATATTTATCCAATTGTTAAAATATTGAGCAGTTGCTTTCATTTTTAATGCCCAAACTTTTAAGTGAATCAGCAGCTTCCTTGACTCCTTTATCTGCTGCTTTTTTAAATAATTCAATAGCTTCTTCTTTATTTTGCTCAGTTCCATGACCTCTGTACTTGGCCATTCCCAGATTGTAGATCGCCTTTCCAAATCCAGTATTTGCTGCTGTTGTCAGGAATTGGACAGCTTCACTCTTGTCACATTCAATTTCTCCATTCAATGACATTAAACCATAGAAGTTCATTGCTGGAATGTTTCCTTTCATGGCAGCATTTCTGTAATATTTGGCAGCCTCTTTTTTATCTGGTTGAATTCCATCTCCTAATCTCAGCATCGTTGCGTAATCGCTCATCGCGATAACGTTCCCCCTGTCTGCTGACATTTTGAAGTATCGTGAAGCTTCTTTCTTATCAAGTGGTACAAGTTTTCCTGCATTTAGAATTGCTGCGTATTGAAGCTTTTCTGAATCACCTCCTTGATCTGCCGCCATTTTGTAATAATATGCTGCAATTCGTGCATTTAGAGGATTAGATTTTTGTTCACACAAATATTTTGCATATAGTGACATTGCTTTTACATTCCCATTATCTGCTGCCATTTTAAGGTATCTAAGTGACTCATCGAAAGTTGGCATGATGCTATCTGGACTAAAAATTAATTTCTCCAAATTTAAAGTTCCTAACAACATGCTTGAATAAGCCATCATTGCTTGTGGTATTCCGTTGTCTGCTGCAACTTTCATGCATGCCATTGCTCCTTTCTTATTGACAGCAACTCCAACCCCTCTAAATAGATATGCACCGCAAAGCATGAAAGCAGGAATGTAGCCGTGATCAGCCGCCATTTTACCATAACGATAAGCTTCTCGTTCATTTACAGGAATTCCATGTCCATTCTTCAAGCAAATTGCATAATTATACATTGCATCTGGACATCCTGATTCTGCTGCTGTCTTTATGTAGTATAGGCCTCTTTGCCTGTCTTGTGGTAATCCAATTCCTTTCTCCAAAAAGGAGCCATATTTGTTCATTGCATACAAGTGCTTCTTCTCAACAGCCAGAACTTCGATGTAATGAATGGCTTCTTCTTTGTTCTCAGGAACGCCTTCTCCGTTAAACAAGACGCAGGCGTAATTGAACATCCCATCCAAATCTCCATTTTCAAATGACATCTTGAAATGGCGTGCAGCCTCTTCTTTGTTGACAAGGAAGTCTTGCCCTTTGTAGAGCAAGGCTCCAAACGTGTTCATCGCTTTTGTGCTGCCGCTTTGAAGTGAACTTTTCAGGAAATTCATTGCTTCGTTTCTGTTATTGCGGCCACTGTCGTAAAGTTTCAAGAATGTCGAAAGATTCTTGTCAACATCAGGCTCGACTCTGTATGCTGAGTACTTATTCAGCGAGTCCAAAGGCGAAAGAGGATTGAATGTAATTTTCATTGTTGAAATGTCATTTTCATTTTGATTAGACTCTTCTTTTAAGCCTTCTGATTCAAAAATGTCAGCTGACATGTTTTTGTATGGAGACTCTGGGAATCCAGCAGGCGAGTTTTGATAAGGTGATGCAGGGAAATCACTTGCAATGTTTTCATTCGGTGAAGTGTTGCATTCAATTTTTTCATTTGTTGGAGTGTGACTGTCTTTTGACATGTTTTCATATGGTGAAGGAGGAAAATCATTTGGCATGTTCTGATATGGAGGTGCAATTTGAAAGCCTTGATAAGGTGACTGTGGAACAGCAATTGAATCTTTTTGCTCTGGTTTTACGGGCTCATTGAGATAGGCCGGCTTGCTCTGATTTGGCGGTTCAAGAAGATAGGCAGGTTTATTGTTCTTTTCTTGCTTGGGCTGATTCAATGAGCTGAATAATTCATCGGTTTTACTCGTGGTTGGTTTAGTTTGCTTATTTTCAGTTGGATGCTCAAATAGACTGACTGAGTTTGTTTGATTGTTTGTATTCTCTTTTTCAAAGAGAATGCTTGGTTCATTCTTCTTTGTTTCTTGATTTAATGAATCATGTTGGTCATCCTTTTTATTATCGTCTTGAGTTTGAGGCTCTAAATGGTCATTCGGCGTTTTATGATCAGATATGTCATTTTGATTCAAATCAAGTGGTGCTGTTCCAAATATTTTCATCTTTCTTGATGTAAAATCTTCAATTGAAATGCTTTTTTGGCTCTT